AAAAGTAATCATTTTTTAGCTAACATATTAAAGAACTTAGCCTATATGCTCCCAGGCAGAAACATATTATTGGTAAAGAATGTATTTTACAATATTTCCCCAAAATTCTGTTCTGAATAGTTCCAACAACAGAAAAACAACTCTGACAATAAGTAATGAAACTAATGGAAATAAATATTAAATACATAAATAAAACATGACACTTAAAGAAGTCACATTTTCTGCTCCTTCTATACCGATTCTCCTCACTCCCCAAAGCAAACCAAAATCTGAATTTGGCACCTGCTGGGAGAATGGGGACCGAAGACCCCATTCTTGGCAAGGAAAAGTACCCCCATAAAAAGAGGAAAATCAAAAAAGTTAAGCTGAGTGAGTCGGAACAAAGAAAAGTCAGCTTGTCTACATTTAAGCTAGCCATTGCTAGCAAGCTTCCTACCTTTTCTGAAATTCTAGCTTGTTGGGGATACAGCTTACAAACACCCTGCTGGGTCTGTAAGCACTCTGAGGACAGTAATGGCCATAGAAGAGGCTGTGGCGAGTCCTAGGAAAAGATATATCTTCTAGGGTATTTCCTGCCCATTAAACAGGCAAAGCAGATACCCACTGTGGAGATTTGCATTCACCTGGGGCAGAGATCAAGGGAGTAGCTCAAGCCCTGAGATATGAGCAGAAGAGCTTATATCCCTTATCGCAGAGGAAGATCCTCTGTGGTAGTGATGGGAGGAAAATGCCTCCCTCACACGGATTTAATGCCGGTGGTGTTCTACTCCACAGAGAAGTAATGGAGTTTAACACCTCCCTAGATCTCTGTGTGTGATCTCAAGCAGGAGGCTCTTCTCAATACAAGGCTCAGATGTCAGATTTCTGAAGGCTATGTTTAAGGTTAATAATAATAACAAGAGGAGCTGATATGCTCACTCAGAAACTGCCCCCAAAGAGTTCCCTCCCTCATCTTACCTTCTAGGCAAATAGACCTCAATAAAATCCAAGTGGACCAAACACTTGGTGCCATTGCCAGAAGCCTATAACCCGGCAATGGACCCTGAGCTCCCACCTTTAATTCTACTCCATGTCTCACATCTCTTTCTTTACCATCATTTCTAACTCTATATTTCTTCAATCGCTGCCAGTTTCCACAGGTCTTAGCAGACCCTGCTCCCAGGGCAGGACCCCAACATTTGGCACACAACATGACTCAACAGGCAACTATCGTTCCAGTTAAGTTTTAATAATTTTACTACCTACACATGTATCCATAAACATGTAGGATGAATGTGCGTTTTCTTAATGCAAGAAATGCCACAATAGAGTATTACACATGCAAATGCTCCACGCCACAGGCTGTACTTCTAAATCCAACCATCTGCTATAATGGAAAATCAACTGAGGCTCGTGCCTGTGGCTCAAGCGGCTAAGGCGCCAGCCACATACACCTAAGGTGGCGGGTTCGAATCCA